GGACACCACTTTAACCGCCATGGCTCTAGCCTACAGAATCCTGGGATTTGTAGTTTTGGCATGCTTTGGCAGAGAAGGCAAAAGAACTTGTAAAACTTGAAATCCCAGGATCCTATAGGATGAAGCTACAGCACTTAAAGTGGTGTCAGATTGAATTATTTCTATAGTGTAGATCCACTGCTTTACTCCAGAGATAGCTGGCAGCTTCCATGTCAGGGGGGCAGCAAATCCATTTCTGATGTTAGTCTTAAAGGAGCTACCCAAGGTGCTGATGCCGCTAGCCTTTGCTGCTTTCTCCTCAGCTGGTCTTGATATAATATGGCAGTTCTGAAACACCGAGAGTATACACACCATTCCCTCCTCATTTGCAATTGGTCTTAGACAAACAAGTTTATCTGTCTGCATAGGTTCGCATTCTGCTGTGTATAAGGACCCAATGATTCTTGTGGGGCCAGAGAACCTGACCTTAACTGTGCACCAGACTGCAGTCCTGGAATGCATTGCAACTGGAAATCCCAGGCCAATCGTCTCCTGGAGCCGACTTGGTAAGTGACCAAAATATCCTTTGGCCAGGTATCCTTTGTTCAGTTCAGGCAAAGTTTCACACAGAATCATGCAACTATCATAGGACAGGGATTTGCATTCCTCAAACATCCAGTGTCAGATCAATCTAGATGAAATAATTTGTTTTGCATCTTGGTTATTTTGTGCAAAAGGCTATGTGTATCTCAATGTATGTGTTTGCCCCTTGTTTCTTGTTAGGATGCTCCACACAGAATACATTTTAAAGATGGGATAGCACTGTTAGTTGGAAATAATAGGAATTAACATCTCATGTCAAAGACAAATCAATTAGTTGGAACAAAAATCAAGTATGAACTCTCCATAAAAGCCAGAATGGCTAAACAGAGGCCATTGTACTTTGGACACATCATAAGATGACAGGACTCTTAGAAAAGACAATAATGCTGGGAAAAGGGGAAGGCTGCTGCCACACTCCAGAATTAATGCAGTTTGATACAGCTTTGTCCTGGCTCCATCCTATGGAATCCTGGGATTTGTAGTGTGTTGTGGCACCAGAGCACTCTGCCAGAGAAGGCTACACATTCCAGAATTCTGTAGCATTAAGCCATGGCAGTTTAAGTGGTGTCAAACAGCATTAACTCTGCAGTGTAGATGCAGCTAAAGACTCCATTCCAGGTGGATTGATTCAGTCAAGGAAGCCACGGCTGTCCTGAATTTGCAAGACTTGGATACTACTATTAACAGGGTCTCTTGGAGGTCTCTTAAATAGGGTTGCCATAAATTGAAGCCAACTTGAGGACACCTAGCAACAACCATTTCCATATGACTGTCCCACCCCTGCCATGTCCTTTTCTCTCCCCAAAGGAAAGACAGTTTAGCACCTAAACGCCTTGTTTAAAGGTAATGTTTTAAAAGATTTAGTTTAAAGTTGAAATAGCACTGAATGGCATTTTCTTCTTCTTCCAGATGCTTGCATAAGGTGCTGAGACAAAGCAAAGCAGTCTCTCTTATTGCTCATTAAATGCTTGGCTGGCTCTGTTTTACAGCCCACTCTGCAGACCAGCCACCGTTTAACAAGAGATGGCTAATTTTGCAACACGCTCTTTCCCATCTCGGCAGCTTAAGTACTTATTCTCTTCTGTTCTGCCTAGCACTGAACCAAAGGTTTATTTTAATTCTTCGTTTTATTTTATTTATATTCCCCTTCCCCCCTCCCATGTGAGGCCCAAGATAGTATAGCTGAAAGAATGGGCTTGTATAAGTTGGAAACAACCTGAAGACACACAACAAGAATAACTGTACTTGGGACTGACAGTTTGATTTAGGAGCAGGGAAATCATACAGCCTTCCAGATGTCATTGGGCTGCAATTTCCTGGCTGGGGCTTTGCTGGCTGGGGCTGGTGGGAGTTGTAGTCCAGCAAACAAAACAAGAGAAAGCCAGAGGGGGTATACTGTTCCCAACCTCCATGTAGGCCATTGTATATCCTATTTTTGAGAACCAATATGGTAGAGTGGTTTGAGTGCTGGATTAGTTCAAATCCATTTTCAGCCATGAAAACCCACTGGGTGACCCTGGGCAACCATACTCTTTCTTAGCTTTAGAACATAGAATGCCCAAACTTTGGCCTTCCAGGGGGTTTTGGACTTCAGCTCCCAGAATCCTAGACTATTGGCCAAGATGGTTGAGGGTTCTGGGAGCCAAAGTCCAAAACAACTGGAAGACCAAAATTTGGGAATCACTGCTTTAGAGGAAGGCAATGGCTAACCTCTTGTGATGAAATTTGCCAAGGAAACCGTAGGAGAGGGTCGCCATACGTTGGAGTTGACTTGAAGGAACCTAACAAGAATAACATGGCCTCTTTGGATGCAGGGGAAATGCCATCCTGGCTCAAAAGATAGCAAGTCCCATACCTTTCTTCCACACAATGTATGAGGGAATGCAATATATAATTCTTCTCTTCTCTTCTCCTTCCACTGATTTAGATGGACGACCAATTGGTGTGGAAGGGATTCAGGTGCTTGGGACTGGAAACCTCATGATTTCGGACCTGACGGTGCAGCATTCTGGGATCTACGTGTGCGCAGCCAACAAACCTGGTACAAGAGTGAGGAGAACGGCTCAAGGAAGGCTGGTGGTGCAAGGTAAGGCTGATGGATTGGGACCCCCGAGGAAAGGTGTCACTAAATTAACAAATGGCTGTTTTGGGGAGACTGAAACCATTGCCTTGTTGGGACAACTGGTCTTCAAATGTTTGACCTTGTATTTCTTGCACATCTAAAAGTGAACAGAAGGATAGGTTTACAGATGAACATTAAGAAAATAAAAATAATGACCACAGATGATTTATGTAACTTTAAAGAAGTTGACAACAACATTGAAATATTTCCCAGGGTGACAGTCTGTCACAACTGCAAAGGAGGTCAAGGCTCCGCAAGATGTCGGACATTCAAGAAAAATGGATGGCATGACCAAAGAAAAGCTCAAAACACTCCTAGAAATGTAAATCCATGCTTCTGAGTCATGCTCAAAATTGAGGACCTTTTGGAATTCCTCCTGGGCAGAAGGTGGGACTGGAGGACAGGTCCAGGAAAAGGAGGACATCTGGTCATCCTGAATTTTCCATACCAACAGAATGGAAACTGCGATCAAGAAATTGGAAAAAGGCCAGGACTTGGAAGGGTAACTATGGAGGAATTGGAGAAGATCCTGAAGTGTAAAGATATATCATTGGATACCAAATTTAGGATTATCCAGGCCATTGTTTTTCCCATTTCCATGTATGGATGTGAAAGTAGGACAGTGAAGAAAGCTGATAAGAAAAGAATCAACTCTTCTGAGCTGTGGTGCTGGAAGAGAGTATTGTGGATACCATGGACTGATGAAAAGACAAATAAATGGGTCCTAGAGCAAACCAAGCCTGAACTCTCCCTAAAAGTCAAGATGACTGAAATAAAAAATAAGTTAAATTGGTCCATTCCCCTCTACTTTCATACTCTGTAGCCAGAGTATGGGATGGTGGGAGCAGGACTTACTTTGCAAGATACTCAGAATGGAGCCTGCCCAGATTTGCTTCTTTCTCTGTGCAGCAAAAGTCTGATTTTTTTGTTGTGTTTTGTTCTTAAGGAGGGAATTAAAGTTGAAAATGTAAAGTGTGTGTGTGTGTGTGTGTGTGTGTGCGTGCTCAGCTTAATCCTTGTGCCCTCCTGTGGCTAGATCTCTAAGACTATAGCTCTGATCCAGGTGCCTAAGAAAGCTCTTTGAAATGTGGGATGTTTCCGCGCGCCAAAGCCTTAACCACGCTTCCCGAAAAGCCAGTTTTAATGACCTTGGCCCGCAACACCCAGAAAGGAGTTTCTTGAATGTTTGCTGGGCATCGAGTCTCCATGGTGAAGTTTTTACAAAGTGAATGCATTTTGGGAAAAGGAAGGGGGGACCTACCCAGCTGGCAGCAAGGGACTGAATGGTGTTAATCCTTCCCTGATTGCGAGTCCTCATTTTGTCTTTGAAGTAGCCTGTTTCGAGCCTTTCCGCATTCTCATCAGCTCCGCTCATTAATGGGAGGCTTGATGAGCCACCCCAGAATCTAAAATTATATTTCTCCCGCCTGAGCAGCTTAATTGGACATTTTCACAGGGTTGCTGGTGCAAGAGGTTCGCTTCTGCTGTTGACTTTTGGGGTCTAGGGAGGTATACTTTCTGCTTCTAAGCCATGCTCTCCAACTCTCCCGATTCACCTGCGACAGTCCTAATTAAACCTCTGTCATCCCACTTTGTCAGCTGCTTTTAAAAGGTCCCAGTTTCTTTCCCTTCCTCCCACTTTTCTCCTTTATCTTTGGCTTACTTCCACTGGTGTAAACTGACTTCAAAACTAATTTCAAAGTGTAACAGTACAAGTTGAGTCTCCCTTATCCGGAAGTTCGAAGTACTCCAAAACATTTGCCATGGGTGGCTGAGATAGTGACCCCTTTGCTTTCTGATGGTTCACTGTGAACAGTGTTTCATGCACCAAATTATTAGAAATATTATGTATAAAATTATCTTCAGGCTACGTGTATAAGGTGTATGCAAAACAAAAATGAATGTTGTGCTTAGACTTGGGTCCCATATCCAAGATGTCTCATTATGTACATATATGCAAATGCCGATAGTCTAAAATTCAGAAAAATATGAAACCAAAACACTTTTGGTCCAAAGTATTTAGGAAGAGAGACTTGCAGTTTGCACTGAGCAGGAGGGAGATGAGAGGAAAGAGGGGAAAGTCTTGATCAGGGGTAGGCAACCTGTCCCCTTTAAGGGCCAAGGAGGGACTTCAGCTCCCAGAAGCCTCAGCCATGTTGGCCAATAGTCCCATGTTGGCCAATAGCTCCTGGGATTCTGGGAGCTGAAGTCCCTCGGACCTTAAAGGGGAAAAGTTGCCTACCCTGGTCTTGATCTTCCCTATAGACCCAGGCAAAACCCACCCAGTGGGTTTCCATGGCTGAACAAGGAATCGAACCCTGATCTCCCAAGTTGTGGTCCACCATTCAAACCACTACACCACACTGCCCTCCTCCTCCTTCTCCTGTCCCCTCTTTTCCAAGCATAATTTATTTCCTTAGCAGCGATGTGGATTTGGAGGCACCACAGTATCTGAGATGGTCTCTAGGCTGCTTTCCTTCAGCTTGCAGGCTGTCAGATAGACACAAATGACATCTCGAAAGCAAAAAAGGTGTGATATGAAATGCTTGCTCATAAGTCATAGCTCAAGGGGCAGGTAGAAGGTTTGGAGCAATAAATCGAGAAGCAGCTGGAACATGGCGTGTGTTCATCCTCATTAACGACTTTTGCCATCTTGGCCACAATCTCCTGCTATTTGGCCACTGACTTTCTTCTCTGAAATATTGGAGGGTAGATTGTGGAATGTCCTCCCCCCCAAATAATAATAATAATAATAATAATAATAATGTAGCTCTCTCTCCCTGTTATTTTTTTGCAAAGACCTTTTAATTCAAGGAAGCCTTTCTTAATTAACTGGATCTAAATGGATGCGCTGGAATTTTAAGCATGAGTCCTAAAAAGTAGAATAGACTGATGGAATCCATGAAATTTAGCTATAGGTTGACCCCCGCAATCCAGCAATTGATTCAGTGGGTCTTCTGTAATGGAGACTATCCAGCAGGATCCCAGGCTTAACGTTTTAACGCACGCATTTATTACTGTGGTGTTTTAAAAAATGTTTTAACAAGTGTTTTAAATCAATCTATAATTTTGTATTTATAGCTTACTGTGTTTTATTAGCCATTTTAGTATGCTGTAAACTGCCCTGCGTGCCAAACTTGGGAGAAAGGCAGGGTACAAATGAAGTAAATAAAATGGATTGTATGTTTCTGTATGGCAGAATGGGGTTGGATTGGATGGCCTTTGTGGTCTCTTCCAGCTCTATGATTCTAAGAAGTTGGTATCCTCCAGATGTGCTGAAGTTCCCATCAATAGGAACTGCAATCCAACACATCTGGAGAACCCCAGAGTTGAGGAGAGGGAATATTAAGACATTATTATTATTATTATTATTATTATTATTATTTTATTTTATACCCAACCTTTTGCCCAAGATCAGGACTCCAGGTGGCTAGATTATGGCAAGAGTTTTTTAATGGAGTTTTCTGATGGTTCTGTGTACACAAACTTCGTTTCATGCACAAAAATATTTAAAATATTGTGTAAAGCAAACTTCGGTCCACCAGATGTTTTGGATTTCAACTCCCAGAATTCCTTACTGTTGGCCAAGCCAGCTGGGTCATCTGGGAACTGAAGTCCAAAACACCAGGATGATCAAAGCTTGGGAACCACTGCTATAAAGGTACCTTTGGGCTCTGTGTATAAGGCCTGTATGAAATATAAAATGAAATTTGTGGCTAGACTTGGGTCCCATCTCCAGGAGATCTCATTATGTACATATATGCAAAAACAGGTATTTCAAAATCCAATTTCCCTCCCAAAATCCAAAACACTTCTGGTCACAAGTATTTCGAATAAGGGCAACTCAACCTGTAGCAGAGTTGTAAGTGTGAATTATTTTCAGTATCTCTCTGCAATGCTAGAAATTTGGGGAATGCAGAAAAGATTAATTGGAGGAAGCTGCAGAATTCTTTTTGGTGGAGGCAATGCAGTTGTTTTATCCTCTTGGATCACTCCTGCTACTAAACCTTAATATCGAGATCTCAGCCGTTGCATCAGGTTCCTGCCCACCGCTCAGAGGGACCATCCGGACTGCAGAAATAATCCAGTTTGACCCCACTTTAACTGCCATTACTCATTGTTATGAAATTCTGGGAATTGTAGTTTTGTCCGACACTTAGCCTTCTCTGGCAAGAGAACTCTGGTGCCACAACAACCTACAATTTCCCCAGTATTGCAAAACATGGAGCCATGGCAGTTAAAGTGGGGTCACACTGGATTATTTCTGCAGTGCAGATGCAGCCAAAGTTTCAAGGAACGGAGCCCATTTCAAATGCCCTTCTCCTTTGTTTCTTTTCGCAGCTCCTGCAGAATTTGTCCAGCACCCGCAGTCTATTTCTCGGCCCGTTGGGACCACCGCCATCTTCACCTGCTTGGCCCAAGGGGAACCCCCTCCCCAGATCACATGGCTAAAAAATGGGCAGATTTTGGAACCGACGGAGCATGTGAAGCTGAAGAATAACAACAGGTAAACCCACCTGTTCCATGCAAGGGTTAAATGCTGATGCAAATTTTTGCTTATCTCTTTCCGGTTAGCAAGAACAAACCATTTCTCTAGTGCTATTGTAAGAGTTTCTGAACATTTTCCCATATATATTTCCCCCCTTCCAATATATATATATATATATATATATATATATATA